CATACTCTCTAATCTTAACACTCTCTCTTAAGGTGGTGCATAGAGATTATATGCCTCTAACTTGCTAATCATTAGAATTTACAAAGGATGTAGTAATTTCTCCAAATAAAATCTATTCAATGAAATGATAATTAATCTTAATGCTTAGTTTTTTCATGAAAAATTGGATTAGAAGCACATGTTAAAGAGATTTGATTGTCACAACAATACTAAATTTCTTAAACTATACTTAAGGAGTACACTTAAATATGTAAGGGATTATCTTCAAACAACAAAATTGTAAATCACAAAATTACTTCATATATACTTTCTCTTCTAAATCAAATCAATGTAGAGTAAAATATTTTTATATCTATTTAATATAATATCTAGTGACTATTGTAAAAAGAATGAGATAGATATAAGTCATTTTTGGTTAATGTTGATTAATTAGCAACAATTTTAAAAAAATTGTTAAATTAGTCTATACTTAAAAGTATTATATATAGTCTTGCAATTTTAAAAAATTGTTAAATTGGTTAATGCTGATTAATTACTTTCTCTTCAAAGTAAATATTTCTTTTCATTTTATTCTCTCAAGAATGAATTTCTGTGTATATGGAGTGATTTTGCAATTGTCGCCAATGGAATCTGCATGTTTTTCATCTTGGTAACTATTAGAAATAATCTTTGCAAGTGTTATAGTATCTATAGAAACAAAGACTATAACACACTTACCAAATGCCATCGCTGTCAAAAGTCTCGTCGTAGCAATTAAAATTAATGATGTTCATTTCACCACCCTTTATTATATCCAACAAAATCACAACATCTCGTGTCAGAAATTATTGTGCTGGGTAGACCACAAAAATTGCCCACTTTACTATCTTTATTGCACGGTTGCATAACGAATCTTTTCTTGGTAACAAATCAAATGTGCTGAAGAAAAAGCGGACATAAGAATTTTCAAAGTGGATTTGTAAAATTGTAACGTCATATTCCTTCCTTTCAATTTATAAAAAAACATTAATTCATCAAAATTAATAAAAAATAATTATTTATCATAAATTTATATTATATATTTAAAATAATTTATAACATTTTATAATTAAATTAGTAATTTATATATTAAATAAATAAAGATTTCATCTTGCATAAATAACAAATAATCTTTCATTCACATAAATATTATAATAAATAAGAATGTACGAATATTTTAATAATTAATATATTCAAAAATACTTTTATTTTTATAATTTAAATAAATAAATATTAGTAGTTGTTTCTTATAAATATAATTAAAAGGATATAATTTTTTTTACCTTTTTTATACTTATTATGGAATATTTAGACCGAAAAAATTAAACGAAAAATCCAAACAGAACAAAGTGTGAATTATTCCTTAAATTAATTTTATTAATTTATAATGTTAATTAAGAGTTCAAACCTCGTAGTCGTCGCTTTGAAGATTTTACCTAATGATTATCCTCTTTAATTAAAAATTAATATCACAATTATGTCTGTGAAATTATTTACGATTCATTTGGATACTGATTTGAGTTAAAAATAGTTAGAAAAATTAAGAGCTTTTTTATTTCCCTTTTTAATTATAATTATTTTAAAATAAAAAATATAAAAACTTGTTTGTTAATTTAAGTTTTTAAAAAGGCAAAAATTGAAAATACTGAATTAGGGTTGTTAAATCATCTCAAGGTATGCATCTCCAGGCATGGGTACACGAAATCTGTGAGCGTAGTTACTGGGTATGTATCCGGTGTCCTCGTTGAGTACATACGTACCCGAAAATATTTATAAAAAAAATAAAAAAAATAGGTACACAGTGGATACTTCTTGGTACATTTTCTTTACACATATCCATTAAAATCAGGTCATTTTTTGGTCATTAAAAAAAAAATTTCAAATTTTAATACTCTGTTTTTTCGGTTCCCCTTCGTTTATTTTGTGCCCTAAAGCTCAAGCCCTTACCTGAGAAAACTGCAGAGCTATCTCCACACAAGGGCAGCTCAGTTCTTTCTCTCTCAATCTGCACCGGTTTATTTCGGTACCTACTACGGTATTTTTCTTGCTTCTGGGTATTGGGATAGTACTCATCTTCATCATTCTCTCATTTGATTTTGTTTCTCCTATTGTCGTAACTGTTTTTTGTTTTTGCTATTAAGCCTACGGACTTGGTCGTGGCTCCCGTGGTACTGTCGGATTGCGGCTAATTTTCCTAATCGCATGCAAGCTGGGCTTAGTGATATTATACCATTCCATCACGACTCACGGCTACCTCCTACCCTCCCTCGGTAAGAACATCAATACCAATCATCAAGAGTTAAATATGCATAAAGTTTGGGCAATTTCAGCTGGGTCCATGCACATCCCATGCCAAAATAATTTCACAAGATTCTGTATCAATTCTTTCACTAACTCATCCCCTGTCATGTTGTATTCCACACCCATCTGCAATATATATATATATATATATATATATTTTTTTTTTTTTTTCCAGCAACATGTTAGAGTTCAAACATACAAATCAGATTTTAATTAAATAGATTGTTTTTTACCTTAGCAATGATGGTAATGTTGAGAGTAATTTTTCCAAATGGCTTTACACTGCTCCCGACAATAGAAAGATGTATATTTTGAAGAAGGGTCAGTACTGTAAGCAAGATGCCCTTTCCTTTCTCACAAAGGATTCTAATAAGTAGTTACTTCTTATATATAGAGAGAGATTTGAATATCTTTTTCTGAAATATTTATAATACAAACCATCGATTGCTCTCAAGAAAGAGTAAGAATTATTATGAAGGTGAGACCAAAATATGGGATATTGGTAGTGATGAGTGGGATTCATTTGTATGGGCTGGTTTTCTTGAAGTTGCTACTCTTTTCCTTGATGAACCAGATTCAGAGGCAGTGCTTTTTACTGATGATGGAAAAGGGAATGATGAGATTGACACTGTTAGAGTATGAATGTTTAGTCTTTTTGTTGTTGATTGTAAAACAATTTATAAATTTGTGTTTTTATTGGAATTTTATTTGTTGAACAATGTGATTCGTTTTATGTTATATCATTTTGAATGGATTGTTAGACAATTTTATGTTATTTAATTATGTTTATATTAAATTTTATTTATTTATTTATATTATATATGGACGTACGCATACCTTAGTTTTTGAAAAATTAGTGTATCCTTGTACCTGTACTCGGTATCGGTACTGTTCCCGTATCCATGCAACATAGGTATGCATCAACCGTAGAAATGCTTCGTTCAATAAGCACATAGCTTTATTTTCCTTTTTCATCTTCCATTTCTTTTTCATCTTTTTGGATTTTGATTTGGATTTGAATTTTGATTCAGATTCTTATTCACAAACAAGCACCAATATATTTGAGAAAAAAAATCAGGTTTGATTCTTCTTCTCTTGCATTTTTTTCTCTCTTTTTTTTTTCTTATATATATTTTATAGTGAACTTTGTGTTTGGAGATGATGGGAGAAAGGTAGTGTTAGAGTTAATGTTTATATGATAAATGTAGTGTATAATAGTGGATATTTGTACACACACCACCAAGAGCTCTACCTCAAATCAGTTTTCAATAGCCACTAAAATGTCCAACAAAATCTGATTGTAGACATTTTCTGCTTAAGAGTGTTCTGTGACTCATACATTTAGTGCTCCAGCCACAATATATATTATTATGTAACATTAATTTCATATGATACATATAAGTTTTGTTGATGCTAAGCCATATTTATCTCTGCCTATGCATTTGGCACCATGTGCAGTAAATAGACCTTTTCCAGCACTCTGTTCCCTGTTAGTTTTCAGTTTCACCTCTTTCCCTTTCTTTCCTTTATGTGCGCTGCCTTGTCAAAATTCTGTGCTACTTGTCAAATCTTTCAACCTTATAAATATGGCTTCCTTGTAAACAGGTCTATTGAAATTTGAAATTAATAATTAATTGATAATAACATTTACCATGAAAAATAGAAAAGTTTATGAATTTAAGTGTGAGGATATTCAATCATCTTTGTTAGCAGCAGGTGATACTGAAATCTATCAGAGCGTGTTGATGTAGTACTGCTGAATTTATATTGATCTGATGTGGAAAGATAACTAGTATTATTAGCCTTAGGAATTGTATGTGAAAGATATATCGAATTTCAAATGTGGAGATGCATGTGTTTTCGACTGTTCAAACTTAGCAATGAGCTAAATATAATCACCAGGGATATTGTATACAATATATTGAATATAGTGGAACTGCAGTATGGCATTAAGTAGAATTTGTATGCTTTGATGTTAGAAAACAAAGAACTAAGATAAGGGTAAATGTTAGTGAATAGTGAGGGATGACATATTGGTTTAGCTGAAACAGTTTGTAACTTTAACATCAATTTAACAATTTCATTTTGGTTTAGCAGTTGGAATGACATATTGTGTGTAACAAATATATGTCTTACTTGGGAGGAGCAAAAAGGAAACCCTTGTGTTCTTATATCGGCTCATTTTGGAGGCAATTTCACTGGACGTCTTTGGCTGTATTCTTGAAGTGAATTAATATCACGGTGAGCTTTTCAATTCTGAAACTTGTTCTGTTAAGCTCGCTGTGTGGATTAGAGCTGATGCTGCTTTTATTTGCAAATTTTAATGGTTCTAATTCCTTTTTCATTTTTTTAAATGCTTTTATCCATGGACCAACCGTAACCCACTAGGCCCTGAGATTTTCAGATTGGGGCCTATTTGGCCCTGCGGGCTTTTAAGCCCTAGTCCATATGGGTCAGGGCTAATTGGGTGAGGGCTGGCACATTATGATTGGTGAGGCTCAAATAACCCTAATCCCTATCTCATGGCAGCAATTTTTATTTCTGATAATATATGAGACCTCTTGTTTTAGGTTTCTTTTTTCGATTTCCAGTATGATGAATCTTAATTCCAATCTTCCTTAATTTCAATGAATCCCATTCATGAATCTCATTTATTTATTTTTTTTGAAATTTGGGGTAATAGGCTATTTTTGTGATCTGAGTATTGCTCCTTTTTGTTGGATCTGTGAGGAATGAGAATCGGGGATTTTTTTTCTGTGGTGTGTGTTTCTGCTGTGTCGTGATTGACAGATTTTTTAAGCTCAAGGTAGTGAAATAATAAGACCTTTGCTGGATTTGGTATTCTGAGGCTGGGGTAATTGGTTCTGTGAATAATTCACTGCATTATGTTTGTGTGGAATCTGAGTCACGATTTTTACTATTTTAAATTATTGATTATTCAATTATTTATTTATTTTCACATTATTTATTATAATTGATTTGTATTTTGGTGTTTGTGTGTGTTTCCACTGCTCAGGTAGAGTGGAAGCGGAGAGAAAAACTCCAGGTTTAGATATTCCCTTGTTTATTTTCCCTAGATGTTGATGGGTAGATTTCTTATTGGAATTTATTGCAGAATATGATATGATGGATTGATATTTGTAATTTTTTTGTCTTAACAAATTGGATCAAGGAAATATGTTTTTACTGTCTTTGTTTTTTCTCTTGGACTTATTTTTTGAGCTTTGTAGCTATAATATGTGGATCATATACCTAGAGATGGACAATTTCCTTATGGTTTCTTTCACTGTGCAAACCAAGGCAGGGAGGTTTCAAACTATCACCTGCAATGCTGCACACTACCCAAAATTTTGTCCTATTTGCTTGATTTCCTCCTACTACCGTTGTATTTTTGTTAGCATGCATGAGTCATACAGTCCATCTGTGTCCTATTTGGGATGATTTCCTCTTGTCTTCAATGTTTATAATAGTGCTTGGTCGCAGAACTCCATAGTCATATAGTCATCTACACAAATTACTAACATTTCATAAAAACTGTTATTGTTATTGCAGGGGAAAAGAGGTATTGAAAAACAACCCTATCAGCTTCCTGATTTCATTGCTGCCACAGGATTTGAGAAAATCAGGCAGGTAATGCAATTTCTGATTCTTTGTCTGAACTTCTGATTTGGTTGTTGAGATTTAATATTTTTTAGTAGTTTACCAGGCAGATATCAATTTATGATTGTCATTCTCTTTTGAATTTATAGTTTTCTATTTGGTGGTTGTGTTTTGAATCAGCTGTTTGCAATCTGCTCAAGTGTTTGGGGTCCATCTGCTGGCTCATTTATGGCTTTGCCTCATTTATGACATTAAATATGCTACCTTTGAATTTGATTAGAATATTCTATCACTACATGTTACTAGCAGATACTCATTGTTTATTTCATTAGTTATTCAAGCACTAGCTAGGCATTTGCTTTATGTATGTATTGCTAGAAGAAGAGGATACTCATTGTATTTGCTTTGTTTGTGAACTGGTCTTTTGTTTGACATTTTATTTGAGTATAGGCATCAAAGTGTTAAATGAAGATTTACTCTTGAGATAATTATACTTTGTTGGTTGGCCTTTAACTATATTTGCTCCTAGTACTTGGATTGTCATATGATTTGTGACAATGAGATGATTTCTTTATATGCACAATTTACATATATAAAACAAACTGGGTTTTCACAATCAAGCAAAAAGATTGGTAACAATATTAAGCAAATGAATGCTGTTCTGAACTTTTGGGTAAATCAAAGGTTAGAAAAATTTTGTAGAGTTATGACTCAATATCTAAAAGTTGATACATTGTTTCCGGTCAAGCACAACCTTTTCTGACCAAGCCCATTGCACTGTTCTGTTCACATACTATGTTCTATTCAATGTTCACAAATGTCTTCACTCCTCTGTTGAGTCTGTTCTGTTGGTAGCTTGACTTTTGTTCAATGCAGTCATGATAGTAGCTTGACTTTTGTTCTTCTATGTTACTTGACATTTGTTTTTATTTACTTGTGTTTAGATTACGACTATACTTTCAGTTGTTATGTATATATGTCTCTTTAATCTATTTTTAATTAAGCATTTTATATGTGCTGTATAAATTATTTAACTTGTATCTATAATCTTTTAGCACAGCAGCCATCCCACTATAGCAGTCCAAGGGTAAACCACTCTGCTGTTTTCTGGGTTTGATAACTAGTCTTGTTTTACCATGTTTCGTCTCAACCTATTAACAACATTGTTTATTTATTCTCTGTTTGAAAAAAAAAAACTACGGGCTGGGTTTGTGTTGGTTTTAGGAGAAGTTGAAATCGAACCAATCTACTTTAGTTGGGTTGAATCTGGTTGAGAGAAATATTTTGTCAAAGGTTGGGTTGGTTTGGGTCAGGTTACCTCTCGAGAAAGTTCTACAGTAATGTAATTGTTTTTAAAATGACCTAGACTGTCATTGACTCATTGCTTTATACAATTTGTAAAGATAGATTTATAAATATGGTCTAGTCATATTTCTCATTTTGATTCTGATGTCTAATTGTGGCAGCTGAATAAATCAAAATCTAAGTATGGAAGATTCTGATCAACTTGCTAAATCTGTGGAAGACCAGCAAACTGAACAAGGTATGTCAGAAAAGGTTGTTAATCTGAAGTTTGTTAATCTCTATCTTTGCATTGGACCCAGATGAAGAATCTTTGGTTTTTATTCTCTGCATTTCTGCTTGTAACTACAATTCTTCTTTTTGCTGTATTTTGTCTATTTTCAGTGTGTAGTTTCTTCAGAAAACCGGTTAATAGGAAGAATATAAGGAAACGCACTATTGATAATGAAGATGAGGAGGACTCAAACAAAGAAAGCTCTTTGTTGCATACTCAGAAAAAGACCTTGAGGCCTGACAATAAGTTGTATTTTTCCACTGGCTCTTCAAAAAGCTCTGCACCTGCTGAACCAAGTGAAGAACCTGGTAAACCAGTCTTTCAGTTCGAGTCCTCTAAAGAGATTCAAGTTCAACATGATAGCAAGGCAACAGCAATTCTAGAGACTGAGACTGAGTTTACAAAAGATGCTCGTGCCATCCGTGAAAGAGCTCTTAAGCAAGCAGCGGCGAGTCTGAAAGGGAAAAGCACAAATTCTGAGGATGAAAAACTATATAAGGGAATCAACAGTTACAAAGACTATAAAGCTGGCTTTCGCAGAGAACAAACAATTGCTAGTGAAAAAGCTGGTGGGGCACATGGTCCTCTTAGGGCTTCAGCTCATATAAGAGTCTCAGCAAGATTTGATTATCAGCCTGATATATGTAAGGATTACAAGGAAACTGGTTATTGTGGATATGGTGATGCATGTAAATTTATGCACGATAGAGGGGATTACAAGTCTGGGTGGCAATTGGAGAAGGAATGGGAAGAAGCTGAGAAAGCAAAGAGGATGAGATTGGCTGCAGGTGAGGATGCAGATGAGGAGGAGGGTGCTAATTTGACTGATGAAGATGATGATGATTCATTACCATTTGCATGCTTCATTTGTAGAAATCCTTTTGTGGATCCTGTTGTAACCAAGTGCAAGCACTACTTCTGTGAGCATTGTGCATTGAAGGTATAGACTTACAGTTGTCGCAAATAATGATCAATTGGCAATAATATAAATCTTATTTAGTGTTGAGTTTCTGATTCAATATTTATAATTAAGATTTTATGTTGCCCATTTTAGTTTTTTATTTCATTAGGTTGCAGTTGTTATGTGATTCAACATTCACTAACTGTTTTTGATTCAGCTCTGAAAGAATTATTGATTTATCACCTGTTATTAGTGAATGTTGAATCCTATGGGGTTTTGTTTTGGGAATAAGCACGATAATGTGTTCCTTTAAACTTGTGGCATTTTTACTGTAGTAACACCTAATTTCTTTGCATTGATGTCTAACTGTTTTTTCGTTTTATTTACAGCATCATGCAAAGAATAAGAAGTGTTTTGTCTGTAACCAGCCAACCCTCGGCATTTTTAATGTTGCTCATGAGATACGCAGGAAGATGGCCGAGGATAAATAATCTCACTCTATACCATTCATGGATCTTTTTGCTTTATGGAAGCTATCTTTTCTTCCCCATTTTAGCTTGTATTAGAGTGATGCTATGTAATGATATGTAACGAGTTGAAAACATCCAAAGGTTTACACCGTCAGATTAGATCTTATGAATTTTGTTGTATTTGAGTCTTACAGATCCCAGAATGTCTTTTAGTGAGACATTACCAATTTGTATATAGGACGTCACTTGTGCACGCTGTGGATCTTTTTGCAGTATAATTCAGTTTGATACCAAATTTTGAATGGAGCCACCTTGCTTTCCCATTGCTTATGGTGGAACAATATTGTCGTCATTGTTGGCAAGACTTCAATTAGAGATGTGGTCTTGCTGGCAGATATGTTGAGCTAACCGGGTGAAAAAAATCAAATGTATTCTACCGCAAATAGATTTTGATAATCAATAGGAGTCCGAGTAACAAGAAAGCACTAGATTGCTTCACGGAAATACATTACAAATATCCTCAGTCATGAGTAATAGGTTTGTTTATCTGCCTAAGGTTTGGATGTGTTAGAAAAATAGTAATCACAGCACTTGCACTGCGGAATAAAATGATCTATTCTGGGTCTAAAATATATTAAAACTTTAACAAAATAAATAGTCATAGGTACCTCGATGAGATTATTGAAACTTTGAGTTTCTTTCCAACTTATAAAGGCTCCACATGAATATATACTGAGACTAATTCTTTGCTCTCAACTCTTTGAGCATGAAAAAACAAATTCCAATAATTGTAACCAAAATTTTTAAACAGACGAAAAGAAGTATACAAATCCTAACTCTATTTTTCTCTATTTGCTATATGTTACTGAGTAACTACAGGATGCACCTTTCCTCAAAAATAGGAATCACCGCGTATCAAATTAGATTTAATTTTATCTGTCCATACACATTTTTCTCCCAAGTCTTATTTTTAGTTTGGAAACATTTGACTTAGTCATAAGTATGCCAACGAGTTCTATCTTTTAGCATTTAAACTTGTATGCTAAGCATGAGTTAATTTTTCTATCTATTTCAAACGCTGTACTTGTGCATTTTAGTTGGCAATCATATTTGCCAAATATTTTATTCTATGCTTATTTATTTTATATCATTTATATTCTTTGTGCTAGCAAACAATACAATAACTTTATAGTTAGAAAAAAAATTAGAACACTCATTTGTATGTGACTCCATGATTTTAAGACTAAGCTAATAAAAAATTAATCAAATTAATTTACTAATAAATATTGGTGTCTAGTAAGCTTGGTAAAACTAGTTTATCAGGTTGATTCGCTTAACGTGTCATTTTTAATAGCACAGGTTGGAGGTTTTAAACCCTCAATAATACGGGTTAGACAAGTACAAGACAGGTTGACTATTTAGGTCAATTTTTTTAAAATATAATAAAAATTAATTATTTTAATATATCTAACTTATATATAAATTTAATAAATACCAAAATTAAATTTTAATATTATTAGAATTAATTATTTATTAAAGGAAAAGTTCAATTATATATATTTTTTGTTTAATTTATATTTTTTTTAATTTTTAAACGATTCAACTCATCAATCCACCATAGAAATTGAGCAGGTTACTATTTTTATCCCTGCCCAACAAATGGAACAAGTTTGGCTAGTTGAAAACAGGCAGCCCATGTTGCCATTCCTAGTGACTAGTAACACTTCTTGACATATGTATGACATTAAGTGATATATTTTATTTTTCAAAATAACTAGAAGAATAATAAAATATTTTCTGCCATATTTATATCTTTGAGTTAACTTTAAAACATGGTATTAAATGACTTTAAAAATTCATTTCTTTATTCATGATCTTTATGTTCGTATAAAGTTCAAACTCATTGTTAAAATTTGATGGATATCTTATTAATCATGCAAAATATCCATTCAATTAATACCCCAAAACATTAGGGACTCAAAATTAAAGTATAATAAATAACTTATTAATTACTATAATAGTCTCAAGTGAAAGATAACTATAATATTTTTTTAATGAAAAATTCCTATTAACAATTTAAAAGTGATATAAACTATTAAGAATTCATCTCTTGAGTTAATAAAAATAATTTAGATTAAAATAAGAAAAGAGCACGTTTATTTTCTTTTTTAAAAATATTTTTTATTTTTAAAATAAAATATCATACAAATTTATATTAGATTTTATTTTTTTAAAAAAGAAAACTGCATTTTATCTTATTTCTCATTTGTTAATTTATTCCAACAATTTGTGTTACTACAGTGAGTTTAGAAAGATAAAAGATTATTGTTATAATAATTTAGAAAGATAAAATATTATTGTTATAATAAAATTATTGAAACATATAATTATTTTCTCTTGTTACATTGATACAAAAGTTTTTGGTTGGACCTAGTATTCTTATACTTAGGCTCTATAATAAACATAAAGTACAAAATAGGTTTGAATAATATGTTTTAATATGGTACACTAACTAATATAAAGGATAGTTATGTTTAGTCTTGATAAAATAAAATAAAATATTTGTCTCAAGACATGTTCAATTTGATGAGAAATAATTTTTCTTGAATACAAATTCCTAAGTTCTTGATTTCAATTATGGTAATTAATGTTCTTTCTTGTTTTGTTCATGCTATTCCACTTATTTTCTACACTAACAAAAATATTATCTATTCTTTTAATGATGTTTCTAATATTTTTTCAATGCTTTGTTTGGGAATTGGTTTTTTTGGGAAAGGGAAAAAAAAGGAGAAGACTTATGTGATGGTTATTTTTGTTTGAGTATTTTTAGATGAAAGAGAGGGAGTTTTTGAGTTTTCAAAACCCTCTTAATCATATGTTTTTAGACTTTGTTTGAGAGTTTAGAGGGAGAGAAAAGGAAAGAGTTTAGGAGCAGGGGGCGACCTAAAGTCCAAGTAGGTAAGGTAAGGGCTTTCGGCCCCCCAATTTTATTTTTAGTTTTAATATACCTTTAAAAAATTAATTTAAAAATAGTTTTTAATCTAAATATTTTAAGTAATTATTAATTTTTTATTGATATTATAAATAACATTTAATAAACCGTAACTCTTAACCAATAGATGATAAACATTTTTTAGTTTATTTTTTTAAAAAGAATAATTGAATAGCCAAAAAAAAAGAATTTTTTTTTACTTTTTCTTTAATTGCTACTTCTTTCTTCTTCCTTACTCTAACTACTCTCTTCTTCTTCTTTACTTGCTCAATTTTGCTTCTGATAAGTCTGTAATTAGATTCACTTTTACAGCCTATTTATTCATATTTGACCTTTATTTTAATTGGATTTTACATCAATTTATTTATTAATTGTGCAGTTTGATATAAAGAGGCCGCGAGTAGATTTCTAGTACATTTTGGTCCCAAATGAATGGGCTTAAAAGCCTCACAGCAGTAAGTACGCCTAGTGAAGCACGAGGGTGCTTTGACATAATGCATGACCGTGCTGCATGATGGTGCACGGTCGTGCTTGTTTGCGGAAGTCACTCTTAGCAATTTTAAAGGAGTTCAGATTCTATAAATAGAAGGAAGAAGGTATCGCGGAAGAATCTTTTGGCTGAGCACGAATTTACACATAACCTTCCCTTCAAGATCTCGGATCATTTCCACCCTTCTTGTACGGATCGTTAGCACACTCTTGGCGGGACTTGGAGCTTCAAGTGACCATACTTGAAGACCGAAGATTCATCCCATATTCTAGTTCGTTATATCTCTTCATTATGGATATGTTATTCATTGTTTTAGCACTTTCTTTCTACATGAGTAACTAAATCCATAGCTAGGGTTATGGGAATTATTATTTATGAATTTATGGAATTTTGATATTTGAATCTAAATTTGATTTCCGTTTCGTGATTAGAATTTATCTTATTGCTTCTCACTCTTAACCCTAATTAATTACATCGTCAGGCGATCGTATCTCGGTTAATTAATAGATCTATAGAATAAAACGAGATGAAAGATTAGGTAAACCAAACTAATCTTCTTCTTATAATCGTTATTGAATTAACAAGTTCATAGGCTTCTTAGGCTTTCTTAAATTGATGTCTTGCATAATCATTAGGAATGTTAATTTAGAGAAAAAAATATTAATATTGCATGACCATTGAATATTAATAGTATTTGTATGAATGATTAGTAATCACAAGGAAATCAGATTTAAATCTAAATAGAAAAATAACATAAAGAATTGAATGAGAACACCTACACGCCCTAGGTTTTTCTCCGATAAATGTAACCAAGACGTGCTTTGTGTTCTTGCTCTTAGTTTTATAATTGATTTTCTAAATTCTTGTGTTGATTATTCTCGCATATTTGAAGCTCAAATAATTAAATTAGGAAATTCTTAGTAATTGGTAAACAATCCTTGTGGGACGATAATTCGAGAACTCAATTTAAGAACCATTTATTACTTTTCGATGGGTACACTTGCCCTCCGAACAGCTTCAATTTGTATTTTTTTTTTACTAACAACAGCCTCGAAGTGGAATGAAAAGAGAATAATTATAGTGCAAGTTGAAGAGGAAGTAAGGTCTTCTATTTTTCTAACACAAAGGCACCAGTACGAAGCCTTCTATTTTCCCAACACAGAGGCATTGGTACAAGAGTCTTCCCTCACGATCAGCCTCCATTATCCACACCTACCAAATAGTATTTCACGATTTTTCTACAAAACTTTCACTTTTGGAGGCACAAAGACTGCAAGTGTCAAGTTTATTTTCTTGACAATTAGGTTTTATTGTTTTAATTTAGTCTTATTTTATATATTTATATTTCGTACTTTTTATTACTAGAATATTTTGTACTTTATATATTATAATTTTTAAATTCATATACAAATATATAAATGTCAACTAGAAAAGATGAATCAGGCCATTCAAAACTTCAGAAAAAGAGAAGAGTCGAGACTTTAATTGAATCACAAAAAGGAGCTATAGATAAATTTATAAAAACAAACAAGAAAAGTGAATTAGAAAGTACATGCGGATACGCTTTAAATGAAAAAGATATCAATAAAGATATAGGTGAAAACAATAATAGAGAAATAGTTAGTAAAAAGGATAATTTTGATTCTCAAACTCATGATAACAAAGAAGAAATTGAAAGATTAAATGATTTTACTCTTAAAAATATATATGATCTAAGTCAATGGACGAATATTAGTATAAATTTGAGAGACTTTTTAGTAGAAAAAGACCCTATTAAAGTTATTGGTATAGATTTTTCAAAGGATAAATATTCCAGATATTTTTCTTCATCAAAT